TTCTCTATGTATGATAATAACAGAGTGGCATAAAAAAAATCGAGTGACAACCTTATCAATTGCGGTTTTAAGTATTACATCTGTATTATTTGAAATTAGTTATGTTGAATCACTAAATAATTGACACGCACCGATTATATTTTGTAATACAAAATTATAGATAACTATTTTTATCTATGACTTAGTTTACTTGACTTGTTCTTTGTGGACAACCAAGGCGATGCGTAATTTTTAGTTACCAGAAATGAAAAAAATAGCAATATTTCAGCTATATACTCAGCTATATAATGTAAATTCTTCTCCATTCCTAATACTACGTAAATTTAATAATGTTTGTAAATATATGTAAATTGTAATAAATTGATAAACAACCTCACTTTCATATTTATAATATTAGTCATTGAATGGAGTTTATTGTTTAAACAACGGATGCGAATTTATGCGAATGAAATATGAACAAATATATCAAATATTATCTCTGATTCATATTTAGTCTGTGGAATGAATTGGCGGGAAATCCGTTGAAGTTTTAAAACAATCCGTAATACTAGTGCTATTATGATACTGATATCCGAGATTCCATTACTTCAAAGCGGTATTATACATTCGATTTTTAAAATAATTCTTTTTTTCATGTTTTGCTTTTTTTTAAATAGTTTTACGTCCCTGTAATATCCTTTACAGCCAAATATTTGACTTTAGTATTTGTATTGCCATTATTACTTTGAGGGTGATTTTCTCAGAAGAAGCGATTAGCGGAAGACTCATTGGTTAGTCGACGTGTTTTGGTCTCGCTTTGTTAAGGGGTGTTTACCAACACTAATTCTGAGGAGAGCAGGACTAAACAGTGACCGTAGGAGGTAACCACCTCTGGCCGTATACTCCGTCAGTCACTGAAAATGCTGGTCAACTAGTAGACTTTTTTGCTTCTTTCTTTCTTCTTTCTTGCTAGTAGACTTTTAGTAAGATGTGACTATGTCACAGGAGGGTGGGATGTTACTGGCAGGTTGTCTACCATTTTTTTATAAACTTTATATTTATTATATCTATTTTTTATATGTCATGTCTTTTATTTGTATTGGGAAGAATACCATTACTAGTATTTCGTTTTTATTAAAATAGTAGTTGTGTTCCCGCTCCAGTAACAAGTTATTTAAGCTAACATAGAAGCATACGATCCGTTAAAATAATCAAATTTACATTGTGCATAATAATAATATTAATAATGACACTTTATATGGGCGTTGCTTAATTTTATTTCTCGATTAGATAGATAGATAGATAAATTCTTTATTCACAATTACAGACACATAACATACATGAGATAGAGAAAAAACACGATTAAATTGTGTTGCTAGATCACGTGAATGGAAATAAATAGTAATGATCTGAAAAATTAACATTTAAGAGCTAGTAATTACGACGAATTGGTTTAGAATAAAACAATATAGAATCACTTGGAAGAACTTTAATCAATATGTACTATATATAATATGACGATTCAATCGAAACAAACATTTACATTATACATATAATATTACGATAAATACTTACATATTGAGGTTTAACAATCATTTTCTAACACTAGTCTCATGAGAATCACAAACACATTAGTTCACTAATAAATTATACTATACTGAACCCTTACGTCAATTCACAGTTTGGCTTGGCCTAATTACATTTATTCTACAAAATAATAAACATATATACATAATCTTAGACCATTTTGCAGTCGAATTCAATGTTTGCATTTGAGGTTGTTTTTCTTATTTTTTTTTTAATGTAACTCGAATGGCAAAGACCAAATAGTCTGTATGATGGTAAGTCGTGTAAGCATCGATATATAGATTACCATTTTCCACCAAGTAGACTGTCAGGATGTTTGCCAATCGAATTATATAAAAAAAACCACTCAAATGTAAGCAACAACATTAGAACTAAGAAGATATTTGGAAAACGTTGATTTCGTATCATCTGTACATACAATATTTGATACGTAAAATTATCTATTTGAGTACAAATTCTATTTACTACCTACTTTATATAATATAGTCTACATGATATAGAGGTTTTACTAATTAATATTTGATTAATATTATTAATTGTTATAATTAAATAAATATTACGACTTATATATAAAATTAATAAAATCACGGGTTCCCACAATGTTTATTTATTAATATAAGTTTCTGATAATTCGGAAGTTTTACAAGCCGCCAAGAACACGAGTAAACACATGTGATTTTATTAGTTTTACATATAAAAAATGGTCACGTCAAATTGAAAAAAGTATAATATTGTGACTCGCCATCAACAAATACTTTGAAATACAATAAGTAACTAGTATTTGAATTAATCTAAACATTTCATTAAAGCATTGGATCTTATCTATTTGAACATTTATTTACCACAAAAACTCTACTTATAATAAATTGTTTATGGTTACAATTGAACAACATAAATGTACCTAGTCTATGAAATACATTTATTTTTTATTATACCCAAAGAGTTATACTTAATACAGAGCATAAAACTCCTTGAATATACCTATTCTTTATATAAAAGTTTATAGATATTATACTAACTTTTTTGTTGGCCTCTTACTCTAGCCATAAAGTTCTGTCTGTTAATAAAAAAAGTAAAAAATATTGTTCACTAGAATAAGTTCCTATATTTTAACACCGAAAACAATTTTTTTTTAATTATTCACGCCAAATTTGTATTACTTCTACCACAGAACAAAGAACTTATATAATACCAATGTTTAATACGACATATTTGCAAGCAATTGTTTTTAAGAGTGTTCTAATATACAAGACGGGTCTTGCATTGACTTAGAACAAAACAATTTTTGTTATATGGACTTTTTTTGTGTGGAATTTTCGAATTTTTGATGTTCTCATAAATTATTAGAGATCATGTATCGGGATAAAATATGGCTAACAGACTGGTCTTGTATATGTATTATATCGCATCTAAGAAACGGTTTAATGTTTGTTTTCTTATTTTATTAATATAATTAATCGGGTTTTAACACGAAGAATTTTATGGCAAATAAAGGTATTTACCTCTCTCGACGTCTCAACTAGGTTGCACTAGCCGTGGTCACGAGCAGACTGGAGTAATAGCGAATGTCACGGTTGATAGCCGGCAGTTTGTTCAACTACCGTCATTAGATTATCCGACGAAATAGGGACTGACGGTTCTATATTAATAATGTGTACTAAACGCGAAAGTTTAAAATATCAATTTTTCTTACTGGCAACTCCACGACAATTTTGAACATTAATATGATGACCTGAACATTTATATTAAATAATACATTTATATTGAATAATTAATGATATAGCATAACTGTTATGTAATTTGCTTGCTCTGAGCCGTATGGATCTAGCTGCAGTGGATCTTCAGCCACCTTGTAAGTTCTCCCTTGGGTTTGGAGAACCATGTACACTCACCTCCCTTTTTGTCCGCTGTTATGGCTGCGAATGAGTATTGGAATTTAAAAAATAAAATGCTCTATCCATAAAGCCGAGATATTCGAGCTATTACTCCGTCATACAATGGTTTACACAATTTATTTTTATCTAACGATTTTACAAAATCCTACTTATTAAATACATTTACTAACATCCTTTTTAATTTAAATACCCGAATTTGTCTATACTTACCCAGCTACTATCCTAGAACGTTGTAACATGAAACGTATTTCACCTTTCTATCCCCTCGAAAGGTTGAAAAATTTGCTATATATTAATAAAGACCATTCAATAATGTTTATTAATAATTATTAGGCAATTAAACTGCGGTATGACAAAAATATTTGCAAGTTATGTTATATTTATAGAAGAGAATAGTATTTATTGACTCATATACAATAATAATCACATAAAAAATAAACAATTTACACATATTATAAAACTGAGTCAATGTAGACCACAACACAGCATAATGCTGTTAATATATTTCATAAATTAAGTTTTTATCTTTTCATCTGTAGATAATAAATACAGAAATAAAATAACAGTAATATTCTTTTTTATTTTTAAATATGGCCACATTTTTATATGTTTTTAAAGTACATCATAAGAAAAAAATATTGATATAGATAACTAAAAATGTGCCTGTACTTGCAGGATAATCAATTTTATAAATTAATTATAATAATAAAAAAACTGAGTTTATTCTGCTGGAAATCAAATGTTATTGAGTATATACTCTCCCATAATTAATAGTAAAACTTTCAATACTATTTCCAACATTACAGTATTTTGACATTTTCAGAAGTAGACAATAATGGGTTTATATAATATTTGATGTTTTTATGAAAAAATTAAGTGTTAGTTTTTCTACAGGAGTGGATTATTACTGTTTCTAAAGAAATCACACGTTTAATTTAATATATTAGCACAAATTTTTAATTATATATTTCTATTACCTTTTTAAATTATAATATCTACTTGCGTTGTTCTTTGTTTTTTGCCTTGTGGGCAGGCTAATGTATTTGGACCATACCGCCTAATATCTTAGGTGACCTCTATGAACTTTTAATATTCCTAATTTAAAATTGATATGACATTTAAGAGACGTATACCTGATTGTACTGTAACATGATCGAATAAGTATAATAAATATAAAACTCGTACAGAAGTCTAGTGTCTCACAATTATTAGATTCACACAATTTCTTGACAGTCAATAGTTAACTCGCAATAACCAATTTGGCACAAAATTTTGAAAAAAGAATACGATTTTCTATTTCACGCTTTGAATGCGTAGCTGAAAGGAATAAAAATAATAAAGTCTAAGTTGCCAGTTGCAAAAACATTGCAACTATGTAATTTGATAGACATTTGAAAACCACTTGAATTTAGTTTAATGAGATTAAGTAATGAACGCAATGGAACACTATTTGTTAATGCCTATTGACGATATTTAATTGTGATAAAGTATAATATTTTGCTATTTCACAGAAATAAAACTAACTCGTGAAATCGACGCATAGGTACTTTAGCAATATGGAATTCGACTGTCTGACAATTTTTTTTTACTAATACTAATATTTGGTTTGTATGACTTGAGATCAAATTTTTGTAACTATTTAGAAAGTAATTTGCAACATATGCACCTCAATGCACCACTGTAAGTAGTGCATAACAGATGTATGTATAGGTATCTACTATTATATCTTGATTAATAATGGTTCGGCATGATATTGAGAAATAATGGCTCGGTTTAAAACAATGGATGGCTATTATGCAATATATGACATTCTGGAATCTAGAATTGGTCTTCATCAGTCATAAAAATTTAAATACTATCATCTATGAACATCTACAGTTAGTATAGTAAGAGCTTAAAGATCTGTGGTCTTTTCCATACATGATGCTACAATTCACAGTCAATAATTCTTTTGCCTAATTAAAGAAAAAAAAAACACTTGATTGTCTACGGTAGCCCGCCCGAACCGACTCTAACTCAGCTGTCACGAGGTCACGCTCTACCCAACATGGCGGCCACATCACCAGCTGACTGGGAGTGGAGCAACGCGCTCCGAGTGGGCCTGGGTGGCGCAAGTCGCGGTAGAGCCAGAACACCCGCCGAAGTCGTTCCTAATGCGCATCCAGTCACGAATTCATGTCTAGAAGCTTCCGTCGGTGTAATTCGCCGTTTTGGATCCCATCTGAAATAAATAATACCTATTTAATAACAAGCATTTATGTCTATGAGTGGCCCATTGTTCGAAATTGGAGCATAATTTTTTTTTCCCATATTCGTCCATCTCCTTTTCAGTGATGGAACAGGCAAAGATCCTTAGACCGTACAGCCTTGGACCATAATTAATTTAACATTCAGTAAGATATTATAGACAAATAATATTAATCTATTCTCAATTTAAGCACAGACTTTAACAATAAACAAAAGAGCATATATGTGGGTCGTGATTGATAAATGTGTACTGTGTGTAATATGTTTATTTTTAATTATTTAATGTATTATTCATACTTAATTAAAAAACAATGTTTTGTGCACTCCTTCACTATTTAAATTATAAGTATGCGAAATTTCATACTACTCCGTAAGAGCGATTTTAATAAAAAGGGGTACAAACTTTTTGCTTGACATATTAATATATAGATTTCGTTCGTACCATTTCTTTATTAAATTGTATTCTTCAGAAATATACCAGGGAGGAATATGGAAATCAGATCAAGGAATTAATCCAAAAGTTTCCGACGGGAATACAACAGAAGTTAACATGCTATTATATCTATGTCTGTATGTATTATATATGTATATTGCTAACAATATGCCACTCATAGATATGAGTGTGTACATATACAAATTAATAAAATTTAAGTATCTGTAATTTTAAATTACCAGCTTTTCACTAAATGCGTATAAAAGTCTGTTTGTTCTTGCTAATCACTAAAAGTGCGGGACCGATTTTAATGAGACAATCACTAGCAGAGATCTAATATTGTAAGGACTTAGGTTACTTTAACTTAAGAACAAAGATAAATTCTTCATGCATAAAGTTTCAGGTTTACTAGTTGAGCATATAAACGCAGAAAGTTATGTTTATTCAATTCCTTATAGGACCAGGGTCAATTCGAAAGTGGCGGTCAAGCAACTATGATTTATCATAGTTTTTGCAGTATAAACAGCATATTATATCTTAGTATATAACTAGCTGGAACGAGCAATATTTTTCATTCCAGCTCCGCTCGTATTAGTCATAGCGTAATGTTATCTATACATATAAATAAAATTGAAGTGTCTGTTTGTAATATTGAAATACCCGCTTTTTACTACATGCATATGAATATAAATACGGTACATACACCAAAGTAACATTTACAATTTTTGTTTGTCTGTCTGTCTGGCTGTTCCGGCTAATCTCTGAAATGGCTGGACCGATTTTGACGAGACTATTATTGGCAGGTAACTGATGTAATAAGGAGTAACTTAGGCTACTTTGATTTTAGAAAAATAAAGTTCCACGCGGACGAAGTCGCGGGAACAGCTAGTATAGTATATATTTATATATTGTAAACACGTACAACATTTATTTGAAAAGAATACGAGCTGAATTTCTTGTCAATTCTTGTGATCTCGTAATCATTCCGAACTGATGGTAGATTTGACATATCATAAGAGTCTGTAATAGACCTACATGAATACAGATATTTTGAATTTGAATATGTATAATCTTCCTCGATAAATGAATTATCAAATACTAAAAGAATGTTGATAAACGATTTAGTAGTATCGGAAATTACACCCGATAGAAACTCACATACTTTATATGTATATAATTGAATATATGGAGTTATATGTGGGTGTTTACACACCCGTACTGACTTGTGTGGTTCCTGCCAAGGTTGTTTTGATAGAGCTAAGTGTAATAAGTGTTCTTATACGACATTTTTATTTATATTATCATTACTTATAATTAGCCTGAAATAAACAAAATAAAATAACTAAAAAATATAAAATAATAAATATATGACAAAATAAATATATATATAAATAAATTAGTGCTAATTGGTGGTTTGTACTCGCACGTTTCGAATTATAAAATTACAATGATTATTTAAAAGAGCAACACGCAAGTTTCTTCCTCGTTCTTCTTGTGATGAGACAGCTTTCCGAATGAGCGGTAGATTAAAAAAATGTAATGACTATTCAAAAGTGTTTCAATGTAAGTTTATTTGAATAAATGATTTTCTATTCTATTCTATTCTAGTTGTCTAGTACTACTATTCTATTCTTTCCGAAGAGAGCGGTAGATCAAAATAATAATAACTATGACTATTCAAAAGTGCTTAAATTAAGTTTATTTGAATAAATGATTTTCTATTCTATTCTATTCTAAAATATTATTCGTTACAATGAGTTTAAGAAGTGAATCCTTAGAATTATAGGTATACAATCAGATTTATATTAAACTAATTATTCCCGCGACTTCATCTGATTACATACAGATAGAGATCAATGTATCTTCACGCCAAATAAAGTTTGGGGTGGACAACCCTTATTATTTAGGGGTATGAAAAATAGATAGTAGCCGATTCTCAAACCTACTGAATATGCATATAAAATTTCATAAAAATCGGTCAAGCCGTTTTAGAGGAGTATGGTAACTAACATTGTGACACGAGAATTTTATATATAAGATTATGAAATTCAATTTTTATTTTAATCTGTTAAGGGCGATATCAACTCTAATAAAATGTACTGATATTAGATCTGTGTAACAGTTTAAATCAACCAAACATAATCTTAACGTTTATGAGACATAATAGAGTGACTGAAATTTATTGTAGCAAAGAAATTTATAAATTGCCCACGCAAATACCAACTCACTACACTAGGTGCAGTGAAATAATTAATTGTCTGTGGCAAAATTATTTACATTGGTATTTGCGCTTAGACTTAACAAAGTAGTTTCAAGTTAATATTGTGTGTATCAACTACAAAATAAAGAAGGTTGTCATATCGGCGAAATATTTATGTATATTGTAATATTGCAAAAAATAATTCAAATTCAAATTTGAAAAAGAATATTCTTTTCCAAATGTTGTATTAATTTCCCGCGTCTTAGTGTTGTTGTTAAGATTGCAAGTCGATTTAGGCTGTACGGTCTAAGGATCTTTGCCTGTTCCATCACTGAAAAGGAGATGGACGAATATGGGAAAAAAAAATTGCAAGTCGATTTTAGAGATTAGTAAATGTTTATTCTTAATTTTCATAAACATTCCATATTCAAATATTATTTAATTCTAAATTTAATAGGTACATATTATTATATAACTAGTATTTACATAACCTAATTGTACAACTATGAACTAAAATAAAAAGCTTAAAAAAAAAAAATATAATATGATGACTAAAATATATTTAATTATGCGAGATACGAGTCACCCATTACGAAAAATGTCCCGTAACAAATTTGGACGGCGAAAACGTATTAATAATTATCATAATTATAAAGTTTGATTATATAATAATATAAAGATCTATGTTTTCGCTCCTAAATCTTGTAAACCGAAATGATATATTATCAAACTTGATGGAAAGTATAAAAATGGAAAGATAGAAATATTATCTACTTAATGGATTTGGAATTTAAAAAATATAACTTAACTTAACCAGCCAAAAACTCACGAAATCTTTAATACTGTTTAAAAAAAAAAACAAACTGAAGCATAAATAGATCGACGGAACATAAGATCTTCCAAATTCATCACAATTTTAAATTTCCTTAAAATATTATGTCGATCTGTATCAACCATTATCATATTCATCTAATACATCCAATTCACACGAAACATCAAACGGATGTTGGGTAATTGTGAGATCGTTTCATCCAATTTAGATGAAAAAGGACGTGATACATGCAGATAATATTCTATTACATTATATGTAGAATATTTCGCAATTCAATTGAGTGCTTCTAACATTTAGCAATATACTTACGATTTGTCTCTGTATATTATCACATTTTAAAGTATTGAAAGGTTGATTTGAATAGACTATACGATATTAAAATATATATGTAACTAGCTGTTCCCGCGACTTCGTCAGCGTGGAATTAAATATAATTTTTCTAAAATAAAAGTAGCCTAAGTTACTCCCTATTACATCAGCTACCTGCCAAAAAAGTCTCGTTAAAATCGGTTCAGCCATTTCAGAGATTAGCCGGAACAAACAGACCGACAGACAGACAGACAGACGAAAATTTTAAGAAGTGGTTTTTTGGTGTATGTACCATATTTATATTCAAATGCATGCAGTAAAAAATTGTTATTTCAATATTACAAATAGACACTCCAATTTTATTTATATGTATAGATAAAAAGTCCATTATAATTGTACATAAAAGCTACAATAAAGGCGGAAATTTCTGTCTGTATATTATTTATAATGCATGCACATGCAATATATAGATGAGAAGGAAAATAAAACAAACAATTCAAGAAAGAACAAGAGGTAAAGAAGAGTCGTTCTCTTCCAGATAACCTTATGAAAGAGAATGTTGCTAAAAATAAAGATGTTGTTTTTAAGATAAAATCTATCTCTATTTTTGGTTGTCTATTATTTGTTACTGTTTATTGCTGTTTAAGACAGAACACGGCCAATGTCCGTAATCGAGATATATTTCATCTATATGTCAAATTTCATAAAGATCTGTACATACATTTAGTCGTGAAAATGTTATAAACAGACAGATCGAGAGACGAACAGACTATTATATTTATAATATTAGTAAGGACGTGAAGTTATAGTAATAAATATTAGTAATTATTGTCTCCACATTCTTTCAACTATCAATTAATATATCTAAAAAATAGTTATACATTACGTTTATATTTATACCCCAGTATTAGCAAAGAGGCATAGTTATCTGTTAGTAAACGATTACTATAGTCTATGGATACCATAAATATATAAAATAAAAAAAAAACTATACCGTAGTCATATCTACTCGTTCTTAGGTCACAGTACAGTTTCCAACATTTACGAGATTGATATGTCTACAAGTAAAGTCAAAACGGGCTCAAGGCGACACACTGTCACTTTTGCTCCTAATTAGTGGTCCTAGAACATTCTCGATATAAACACCTTTATTTCATTATAAATCGGTACTAGCAGATACCTATATCAGTTTCTTAAGGG